AATATCTCCCTGCCCTGGGTAACGCTGAGAAGACATGTTGGTTATGGTCCAGGCCACTATGTAGGTTCGCCGGGGGAGATGGCATGGTCAAGTGGCAATGAAGAAACTAGTGTTGGTTTGTTTTCACATTTGTGTCAACTTTATTGAGGCATGATTGAAGTACATGAAACTGCACATATTCAAAGTATGCAGTTAGATCAGTTTTGATATATATACCCCTGAAACCATCACCACACTCAAAATGTTTGCGTCATCTCCAGGAGGGAAACTGATGTTTCTGTGGTGACTGCTTCTGGCAGCTGAGTGGCCTCAACCAAGCCAGTTCCTGGAGTGGGAATTGGGGGTTGGAGGGGGAAGTCCTTCCCAGATTGAAATTTTAGGACCTTGTGAATGCTAATGTGTAATAGAACCATCTTTTGAAGCATTTAAACCACTGACTCTAAAAGGGATTAGGTGTGTGTTTGTGTGTGGGTCGTATACAATACAGAAGATCATATTCAATATGTTTCTTTTTTATGGCATACATAATAGAAAATAAAATCTGATAGTCTTTGGAAGAGGGGGAGATACACAGAAGAAGATGGTATGAGAAGTTATGTAAAGAACCTGGGTTAAAAATACCAGTGGGGGAAGCGTATTCTTATTTTGGCTTTCGGTATATTAGCTTCAAACTAAAAGTTTGTGTTTGGGTCAAGTTTTTCATTTGGAAGTTTTAGATTGTTTTCTTTTGAAAACAATCAGAGTGGTATTGAAAGGAAATAATTTGAAAGCAACAAAGGAAATTATGGAAATATTGGGCCGGTGACCAGTTTTTGTGTTTGGTCTTCATTGTCTTTCCCAGTGAGCTTTCAGTGAATTTCAGGGGCGTGCCTGAAACATAGATGGGTTGGAAGCGGCCAATGAAGAGAGTCTAGTTTGGGGCATTAATTATAACTTAATATTGTTGTTGATATTGCCTAAAAATGTAAATAAGACAACATAAATAAATGCAAAGATGCTTCTTAAGTTTCCATCCACACCTTTGTTAAAGGGAGAAGAAAAAGAAAGCATTGCATTGCTTCCTCCTACCCAGAGCTGATGCTCCCCTCAGTCTGCGATGGGCCAGGCACAGGGGCCACACACACAAGTGCATGGTCCCTGCAGCAGAGTGGGGCACACTTAGCCAGAGGACAGTGGTGGGCCAACATGGAACCCATTGGTGGAGGCTCCCCTAGACCACAGGCTCACGGGATCTTTGTCACCACTGTGTCCCGGGACCTGGTGCCCAATGAATGTTAAATGCATGGCTCTCTGTTTTTTAAATTTTTGTGTACTTTAAAAAATTAGACTTAGGATGGCATAGAGATTTCCCAGATTAATTATAAAGGAATCCAATCTTACGAATGTGCCTTATATGCTGAATTTTTCTGTGACTAAATTACAGGAAAAGGTTAACCGCTTATGGCCTTGTCTTCAATTTCCAGTCATTGTCTAGAGACGTGTCCATAACCCTGCTTTTGGTCTTTCAGGGTAAAGGTAGCAGTAATGCTGACGTTGGCAAGCAAACTGAAGCGGGAGGACGGTCTCAAAGGGTCCCGGATGTCAGCCACGGCCTCCGACTCCACTCGGAGGGTATCTGTGAGAGACAGGCTGCTTGTTAAAGGTAATGTCATCCATGCAAGCTGGTTTCTCTCCTGTAATAGAATGAAGTCTCTGACTGGAGGCTCTTTGGGGATATGAAACACCCAGTTGCTGAGTAGAAATACCTATTTGAAAATATAATTGCCTGTCACTTACAAGGACTTAGTACTGTGGGAACACTAAGGACCGGAGAGTGTGGTCTGGGGGCGCCTGGGCGGCTCAGGCGGCAAGCGTCTGCCTTCGGCTCGGGTCGTGGTCCCGGGGTCCTGGGATCGAGCCCCGCGTCGGGCTCCCTGCTTGGCGGGAAGCCTGCTTCTCCCTCTCCCACTCCCCCTGCTTGTGTTCCTGCTCTCGCTGTCTCTCTGTGAAATAAATAAATAAAATCTTAAAAAAAAAAAAATGTGGTATGTCTTACACACTTGGAATATGCTCTGTAGGGGCTGCCAGAATGCCGGTGGGAGGGTTATGGTACTCTGGCCTCAGTGCTCTCAGTATCTGGCTGGTTGTGGGGGCGAGGGGGGAGCATCTTCCTTTCTTGTGCTCCATCACAAGGGGCTCCAGAGTCCCTCTCTAACACCGCAGCACCAGTTTCTGGTCTGTAAAGGGAGGGAGTGGATTTCAGTAATCTCTAGGATCCTTCTGTACTTTATTCAAGTCACAGCCTGAAGAGAGCTTTATACAAAATCAGTTCCCTTCACAGAATTAATAACTGAGTGCCCTAGAGCTGTAGTCTTTGGAGAAGGGTTTATATACTGTGTGAATATGCATGCATTTGTATGGAATTTCTGTGTTCATTCATTGATCAAACTTAACAACTGTCAGGTGCAAAGGCAGTTTCCTGGGGTCATGAGGACTACAGAAGGTGAAGAAGAAACAGTTCCTGCTTTAAGGAGCTTAGAATTTGTAGCCCTTTTTACTTTATGGCATATGTTTACATTTCTTAAATGTATAGGAGCTAGGAAGCAACGAGCTATACAGTTGGTTAGGACTCCCTGTTTTCATGTCGTATCAGGTAGACACCATGAGGTTGCTGGCATTTGTGTGTCCTGAACCAGACCTAATGGCAGGAGAGCTGGTGTGGGTGCATGCACTGTTTGTCCTCAGAAACGAGGCATTGCTGAGCTTGGCAGGAGTGGCACCAGGAAGGCATCAGGTTCAGGGAGTCTTGGGGCGGTGCGCTCTTCCTTATTCTCTCTGCCCCTGAATCTGGCCTTAGCTCTGATTTATCCAGCCTGATGGATGATGGAGTAAGAATCATTTCTTACCTTTTGACATTACCCACTATGTCAGATTGAATTCAGAGTTGTGATGGTGGTCAGAGGGTGAGACATGGGCTGCAGCTCCTCACTTGGATGGGACTTGAGTCCTGATAGGACTTGAGTCTCTTTCCCAGATGCTGGCTCAAGGGTTCCATGTGCAGAAGAAGCCAGGAGCCAAGCAAGCTGGGGACGGGGTTTGATGTGTTGACGCAGTCCTTATGTGGAGGGTGTTTTAGTGCCCGGGAGTTAGAGTGAGGAATGCCCAGATGTTAGCTGAGGAGGCGGTTGGAAGCAGTGAGTAGACTGTTCCATCTTCTTCACCGTATCCTTGTCATGGTTAATAGCTGTCATACACAGGGCAATTGGGACCGGGCCCTCTGTTGGACACTTTCTAGGGCAGTTCTTGTTTGACTGTTGCTAAGCCTTGCCAGGTGGGTTGTTCATTCTGCAGCCGAAGGACTGAGACTCCAGAGAGGTTAAGAAACATGCCCAGATTACGACTTTATTGTAGCAGCACAGCCAGACCCACATCCTGGGGTGGTGCAGGCTCTGGCGGAGCAGACCTAACAAGCAAAAGCTGAATGAGCAGAACACAAGTGCAGGTCCACTGCCAAGAACTTCACCTTCAGGGAGGTGTACGGGCTCCTGCACACCTTCCACCCTGCTCAAGGATTCACCTGGCAGGTCTCAAATGGCTCTAGGGCCTGGTGCAGCGCCGGGGAGCCCATGGAGGCTCATAAAGCTGGACTCCGCCCCCGCTCCCAGGACAGATGGCCCTGCTAAGGTCCTTTGACTTTGTGAGACTCATCAGAGAGAGAGGTGCAGAACCACCTCATGGGGCCACCTGTTTCCATCCTCCCAGGGCACTGGTGATGATCAGGTTTCTGGGGTAGTTGTGGGCAGCAGGGCTCAGTGTAACACATACCTCACGTGGCCTGCTCCCTCCTGCCTCAGGGGGGCTGTTGGACCAGGTTGGGCTGGCTGAGTGGTGAGCAGTTGGGCATGTGGTGGAGGGGTGGGTAGAAAGCAAGGGTGGGCCTGGCCTGAGAGAGGGGGCTCTGAAAAACAGCACATAAGGAAGGATGCTCTGCTGGTCCATGATCTCCTCATCTGCACCTAGAGCACTCCTTTGCTTGGCTGGATGTTGGGGAGGTCTTCATTCTGGGGATTTTGGGTGGCGGAAGTGGTGTGTGGAGTCTAGGAGTCCGTGGCATTGTGGGCACTTGAGTGGTGATTACAGCGAAGTTCTTTCTAAGGGAAACCCCCTTTGGGAACTTTGAAAAAAGTTGGACGTCTGAGTTCAACAAGATTGCTCTAGTCGGCGCTGTCATCCTGGGCTGTGGCTTTGGCTCATGTGGGAATGTTACTCATGGGGATCATTAGTTTGTAGAAAAGTATGTTAATGTGTCTTGGGATTCAGTGCCATAGGCTGGATTCCTAGGAGTGGGGAATTTGGTATCAGGATAGTTATAAAGGAGTATCCCTGGGACTGATACCTGTGGAGGGAGGTGAAGGACTCAGGAGCAGGCAGAGCAAGAAATCGATCTCTGGGGAAGGCCCCAGACAGCCTCAACTTAGGCAAGCGTAGCCTTCAGAGCAGTCCCCAGTCAGGTGAGATGGTCAGGTTTTCCTGCTCTGCATGGATCAGTTGCCACAGGGGCTGCCCTGAGAGGGGTAAGGGTCTTGGGGCACAGGGTTCTGTGCAACCTACACAGTGCCTGGAAGGACACAGCTAAGGGCCATCTGCCGAGAGCCCTGTGGGGGCTGGGGTGGGGTGAGAGGGCTGTGTATCCAATAGCCCAGAGGTATGGGATCTGGCTTGGTGCAGATGGCTATAGGTTGAGCTGATGGATGGGGGAGATTGGAGGTTGGCAGGGACAGTTGGTGCTAATGGTGAGGGCCAGTAGGGGTTCCAGAACTGTGTAGCTCCTGTTCCTTTTCTTGCCTCTGGAAGGCTGGAGTCCACTCTCTTTGGAGAAACCATAGCCTGCCTTGGAGCAGCTGGCCAGGGGAGGCCTCTACTGCGCTGGCATCTTGGTCACACCAGCTTTTCGTTTGCACCCCTCAGGTAACTCAGGGACATCCTCCAGACTGGAACTGGAACGATGCTTGTAGCAGCAGTCCCTGGAGGGTGTAGAACAATTGAGTATTTCTGGGCTAAGACTGAAGGCTGCTGTCTGCCCTGAATCCTAGGAGCTGGGGACACTGTGGAGAGAGTGTCAGACTTGTGCAGGTCTGAGCCCAACTGGGGAGCGATTGCCAGTGTTTTTAGTCACGGGCAGATGGTGCTGAATTCCTGGTGGACCTTTGTGGGGCCACTGAGTCCATCAAGTTCTAAGTCTGCCGGTGCTCCCCACCTACCAAAAAAGCGTAGCAGGGTCTTGGTTAGCTAGCAGAAGCTTGGCACTTTTTGTATAATGGGATTGTGTGTGTCTCCTTGTTCTTTCGTTTTTTCACTCAACAGGCATTTTAGTCCCTGCTGTGTGCCCGCCTACTGTTAGTGACCCCTAAAAACCCCAAAGGGCTCTAGGCGTGCTGGCAGGAACCGTTCACCTCTATTAGTCTTTGTTAAATGTGGAGACTTGGATTGAGTGAGTTCAGGGTGAGTTCTGAAATTAGGGGAGTAAGAGGGAATGAGCCTGTATGTACCTTTATCCATCCTAGCCCCCTCACCCCAGATGGTTCCTGCCGTCCTGGGGCTGTGGTATGTGGCTCTCCATGCTCCAGGCCTGGAGCAAAGAGGCCTGGCCGCCCACCTGCCTGTGCTTCCCAGTGTCCGGGGTGCAGGTGCCTCATCGGGTGGGCTGTTGTGTCCACCCGAGCAGTTCAGTCATGGGATGGGATAGGAAGGGCCCCATTCCAGTGCAGTTCCTGGAAGAGTGGGGGAAAGAGAGCCATTTATTGTTCTCCGGAGCTGCTTTCTCCATGGCAGGCCCTGCCCAGGACTCCGGGGGTGGGCTCAGGGTTTGGCTTGCATGTTGGCAGAATATTCAGAGCACTTAGCAGCACTACATTCTGTAGTTTAAAAACTTGAAGGGTACCTGGCTGGCTCAGTTGGTAGAACACATGACTCCTGATCTCAGCGTCATGAGTTTGAGCCCCATGTTGGGTGTAGAGCTTACTTAAACATAAAATCTTAAAAAATAATAAAAGTAAAAAATAAAAGCTGGAGCAGTGGCCCGGAGAGGAAGAGTCCTGCTAAAATAGAGCTAAGGCAGCTGGCCCCAAGGTTAACCTTTAAAAAATGCTTTGTTGAAGGGTTAAATACCAGTGAAGCTGCCCAGGAAGCTTGGTGGCCCCACTTAGGTGTACCCGGTAGCCCAGTAGGGCAGGGAGGATTGTGGAAGACAGATGAGGTTTCAAGTTAACCTTGTCAGCTCATGTTGAAAGTAGGGGTGGCATGAGGCCTTGGGTTCCATTCCCATTGATAACCAGTCTCTGCTGTAGCAGCTGTGCTGGTTTTCAGGGTTACAGCCTTGCTCCCTCAGAGTGGAGTCTGTGAGCGCTCTGGGCCGGCACTGGGCAGTGTGCTGCTAAAAGGCCCCTAGCCTGAGTAGAAGGGCTGATGTGAGGCTCCATGGGGTCCTCAGTGCTCGGCTCTAGCAATGCTGTCTGTGAAGCGGCTAATGCCCTTAGTTCAGGTGTCTCCCAGATAAGGACACTATGCATGGATGCTAAGACTGCAGAAGGAGTGCTCAGTGCGTAAAGACAAGCGGGAAGCTAAGAGAGGAAGTTCCAGTCAGAGAAAATCTAAGAGGTAGTGGTTCAGGTGGAAGGAGGCAATCAAGTCTTCTGGGAAGCGGCTGCATCTCTCCCTGGGTGGGATGGCACATCTTCCTGGCCCGATGGAGAGCCATCTGTGTCTATGATTGGCCCTTTCAACAACACGCATTTATTTCTCATGGTTCTAAAGGCTGGGGAGTCCGGGATCAGGGCGTCAGCAGACTTAGTTCCTGGTGAGGACCCCTTCCTGGCTTGCAAGCACCTGGTGTCTCTTCTTATAGGGGCACTAATCCCATCATGAAGGCCCCACCCTCATGACCTCATCTAACTCTAATCATCTCCCAAAGGCCCCACCTCCTAATACTGTCAAATGGGGACGGGGCTGGGTTAGGGCTTCCACATAGGCACTTTGGGGGAACACACTTCCACAGCAACTTTGGAATGCATTGGCCTCTAACTACACAAGGGGAAAGGCTTCTCACATCTCAGGACATGCACACCAGGAGCACGTCCAGCTTGCTGGCGACGGTGCTTATTATTAAGTGTTTCCTGAGCACCTTGTGTGTGCCAAGCCCAGGGCCAAGTACTGGGGTTGCAGGTCTGGGTCAGACTAGACAGCCCTTACCATGAAGAGTGCGCAGATTTGAGGGGCAGGCAGTGGAGAAACAACAAGAGCACTGTGTTGTGAGCAGCCTGTGGCAGAAAGGGGTGAAGACGTGCCGTGTAGGGGCCACTGTGGTCATCGGGTGGGTTTTGTAATGTGATATCTCAATGCAGTCACACTTCAAGTGGGCTCTGTGGTTTGCTCTTTAGTTAGAAAGGAAAAGAGTCTAATTTCTCAGAAGGAAGTTGTGCAGCCTCGGAATTGTGCAAGGTGCCCCCCAGAAAAGCTGGGCCAGTGAGGGGTAGAGGTGTTAGCATCTTGGAACAGGCGAGACTTTAGCAGGTTAAAAATATTCTGAATTTCTCGCTATTTTACAGGTAAGGGTTGTGTCCTGCAGGCAGTGAGGTCATGGCAGGGAAGGGCCACTGCTTTGCAAAGAGGCCTCTCAAACATATGAAGCAATTTGCTTGTTTCTGTGGCCATAGACTTCTTGTACATAGATTCTAAGGCGATAGCTACTGACAGTAATGAATTCTTATTTGTCATCATTTGAAGTGTAGAGAAACTCATTTCTGACTACTCCATGAGAGTATGTAGCTTATTTTATTTTCTGCACTGGACTGAACTAAAATGCTGAATATCTTTTTTTTTTTTTTTTAAAGATTTTATTTATTTATTTGAGAGAGAGAATGAGAGATAGAGAGCACGAGAGGGAAGAGGGTCAGAGGGAGAAGCAGACTCCCTGCCGAGCAGGGAGCCTGATGCGGGACTCGATCCCGGGACTCCAGGATCATGACCTGAGCCGAAGGCAGTCGCTTAACCGACTGAGCCACCCAGGCGCCCCAATGCTGAATATCTTTATTGAAATTCTTGTGCTCCCAAGATGATACTTCTTGCCTGCTCTTGGACCAGGAGCCTGCAGCGGCCTGACTATGGTGGGGCTCTCCTGGCTCTTGTCCACTTCCCTTGACTGAGTAACACTGAACCTGGAAATGCAAGCATAATGCTCATCTTTGGAATTGAATTCTAGACTACAGTGTGAAGTTGTTGAATCCATCTGTGTAAGTAGCTGTGTGTGAATGTGTTAAGCTGGCCGGATACCCTGTAGCAGTTCCCGATACCGGGGGAGAGTAAAAGATTCAGAGGCCTGGGCCCCACGTAAAACTTTTGGTGTAATGGGTCTGCATAGAACTAGAAGTTTTAAAAGCTCAGTAGGTACTAGATTGTGGTGATGAATGCACAACGCCAGGTTTCACTAAAAATTATTGAATCATATGCTCAAAGTGGGTCTGTTTTATAGTAAATTGTACCTCACCAAAACTGTTTTTAAAGGGGGGAGGCAGCAAAAAAACTCTCCAGGTGAGTGATGTGCAGCCAGGGCAGAGATTCCCTGTCCTACAGTCAGGCTTCCTGGGGACACAAGCCTCTTACCCCCGTCCCGTCCCTGTGGCGCAGGGGTCTGGTTCTGTTGCTCGGTCACCACCACACCCTGGTCAGTGCCCTGCTGTCCTCACCTCCCTCCTCCCCGTCCCTTGGCACCAGACGGTCTTCTCAAACATTTTGCTTCTGTTTTGTGGCCCCCTCCTCCTCAAATCCTCTGGGCATGTTTTTTCTTTCCCTGGGTTTTTTAAAGCTGGACTGCCAGAGTTCTCAAACTGTAGACAGGACAGGCTTTCCCCGAAAGCCAATTCCGACATCAGTCTCTCAAAACAAGGGCCCCCAAGGACAGTTTCTTCTAAGTTCTTACCATCAAACTAAATAATAGTATAATAAAATATGCAAATGCATATAGTTTTAAAACATACAGTTTAATTATGTAGGTAACATTTATTTTAAAGTGATTAATGAATGACTTACTTGAAAAATTTGTGCTTTTTTGATAAAACAAATGCCCTGTATGAGTGGCTGGAGCAGAGTGTGGCCCTGGGTGGCCCTCGGAGGACCCGGTGTCGGTGGCCTCGGAGCAGTGGCACTGTGGTCTCGGCCCCCATTTGCCGCACACTGTTTTCTTTAGTGAGTGCCCTGCTCCAAGGAAGGGTGAGAACGCACCAGTCAAGATGGGACTAAAGATCACTGCGGTCGTTAGAAGAATAACAACAGTGAACGTTCATAGGATTCTTAATTGCAGTTTGTTATGTGACTATATTTTAAATGTGCCACAACTCCAGGCGGCCAAGAAAACAGACTTCCCAGGCTTGCACTTCATCACAAAACTTGTTCCTTTTCCAGTCGCAGCAAGAGGATAATTAACTGTCACTTCTCTCTGCATGCCCTGCTCCACTGAAGAGATTTGCTCTTCGTCTCTCCCTGGCTCCAGCTGATGGTGGAGCACCGTAGCCCACGCGGGCACCTTTCCATTCCCTAGCTCCTCTCCTCTGCCCCACTCCACTTTTCTGAGTGCCCATTCTAAGTACCTGGACCCCAGGGTGAACACCGTTAGTGGGCCCCCATCTGTGCCCAGATTCTCAAGTAGCTGATAGTAAAGGCTTGCGCGTCTCTCAAACCCTTGGCCTCAGAATGGAGCTACCTGCCCGTTTTCCGACTAGTGCGCTCAGTGTTCGGCTGTGCCACCTGGTGGCCTCTGCTGTCCTCCCCTCTCCTGCCCACCGCTCCGTACTTGACAGGAAGGAATTGTATCCGCTGCTTCCATATTTCGACCACCCGTTTACTTCTTAGTTTTTTGTAATCTGGTTTCTATCCTGCCCCCTGCCTTCCTGCTGTTTCCAGTGCCCTCAGCAGTGTCTGATCCACATCTGATGGCCTTGACTGGGGCCTCATTTCCCTTGGATCAGTCTGTGCCCTGAGTCACTATGTTCCCCACCTGTCTCCTGTTTTTCCGCCTTTTGTCATGAGGGACCCCCTTGCCTTTGTCCTCTGCTCTCTGCCGAGCTTCGTTCTTTTCACTAGTTTTTCCTCTGTCAGCCTCATGACTGACAGGAGGCATCCCTGTGGGGACTCCTCGGCCTTAGCCGTGCACCCAGATTTCAGCTTCCTCCTTCCAGGACTTCCCCAGCATGTCAGCCCTCTGCTGTCTCTGACCCTCTCACCCCACACAGTTGGCAGATCCTTTTGTCCTCTGTGCGCTCAGGCACCCCAACCCTCCCTGCCTTTGCTAGGCCCTTGCTGCCTCGCGGAGTGTGCCCAGCCCACAGGTCACCTGGCCTCTGCTTTGCCCTTTCAAAAGTTGTCCTCTTGAGGAAAGTTTGGAAACTTTTGTTCAGAAATGTCCCTCTGCTCCCTGTCGCTGCAGATTTAAGTTTAGAATTCTAAGCCATGCACTCGGGGCCTTCCGAGATCTGGCCCTGTTTTCCACCTTGTTTCCTGTTGCTCTGTTGTTTTGTATCCATTGCTCTGGCTGCATTGTGTGCCTTCCGGTTTCTGTGCTTGTCTACGTTCTGTGCTTTTGCACATCGCTAACCTAGCTTCTAGGAATGCGTTT